AAAGGACCGATATTAACTAAGTATTCAATATATGCTTTAAAACTAAGTTTATTTAGCTTTTAACGATTTAGCTTTATATCGGTTGTTATTATATAAGCCTTGCAGTTATATACCCCGAAATATATCTAGTTAAAGCGCTTGTTTAAGGCTATTAGTCGACTTATTTTCATCGTAACAGCTTTGAAAATATTAAAAGAGGTTTTTACTTATTCTTCTTTTTAATGTTTAATTATAAAGATATATAGCCGCTTTAAGTATTTTTAGTTATAAAAATGTCGGCAATTTAATACTAGTTCGTATTGTATGCGCTTTCGTTATTAATACACCCTTTAAGTACTTTATACCTCTGTTTTAAGCTTATATACTAAGAGCTAAAAGCTTTACGTTAATTATGCGGGCTTTTAACTATATTCTTATATTTAGCTTATTAATATATATTTTATTATATGTTTTAACTATCCTAACTTTACTATCGTACCAGCATTTTAACTATAAAAAGTGCGTTAATACTATACGAAAGATTGTTTACATAGTTTGATTTTTAAAAGCGTAGTCTCATAAAACACTACAGTTTTTACATATAAACACCATATAGAATAACTCATTTAATAACGAATTCTTATAATCATAAAAGTCGAAAGTTAATCTCTCTTTTAAATATTCGTAATTAAATCGTAATATTCTTTATATATATTATTTAACTTTAAACATTTTATATAACTCGCATTTTCCTCCCGTTAGTTTTTAAATAACTACCTTTTAAAATGCGCACATTAAGTGTTTCAAAGCTTTCAAGCTAAGATGTCATAGTTGTTAACGTTATAGCTACGCCTTTTTATTAAAAGAAGGTTTTTTAAACTATAAGTTATGTAAATGCTTCTTACTCACTTATACGGTATAAAAAATAGCGTTTAAGTCGTTCGATTAGTAGTTAATGATATATTAGCCATATATATCTTTGATATAACCGATTAAGGTATTGTTTCTTCTTTTAAAACTAGTTTGCCTTTTTTTTAATCTTATTAATATCCTTTTCCTTTAAGTTTTTATAAAGACATGAAAGTGGTAAGAAGTAAAAGGTGGTAAGCTGTATTTAAAAAAGCTAAGAATCGTACTTTCAATATATACTTATATATTACCGTATGCTTAAATAGGTAAAAAGCGATCTCTTAACTGTATAAAATCTTTTCATGGCGTAGTTTTTTTAACTGGTTAAACGTTACGCTTAGTTTAGAATTATAATAGTGCTTTTACTATTTAAAATAACTAAGTATGCTAGTAAATAGTCGTACGATTTAACCGCTATATAGGCTAATAACACCTTGCTTATCGTTTTGCTATAAATTTAATCTTAAATATTTTTAAGCTTTTTTCCTTTAAGTCAAAAAGTCCTTGTACTCGATTTTAACTTCTTTTATTTTAAAGCGCGGATTTAAGCTTGTAGTTTTAAATCTTTTAAGGCTTAAGTTGTCTTTTTAACGAGATAGTCTTTAAGTTGAAAGCCCTTTTATACCTTTTTTAAGAAGATATGAAAATAATTTGCTAAAAAAAAAATTTTATATGCTAAACATTCAAAATTATCTTTATTCTTACTTCTTTTATTCTTTAATCAGCGTTTAATTTGTGTTTAAAGCTTTTTACTTCTAACCTTTTATTTTATTTTACCTAAGCCCTCGCTGTTATAAGTAAACTTAAATGCACCTTTAAAATCTCGTTCAACTTTGTTAATAGTTTATAAAACAGCCTTTGTAAAGTCGTTAATCAAATCTCGATTTTAAAAATTCCGTGCCGGATTTATTCGTCTTTAATAACTGCGTAAGTGCTTAACTATATAAGAAATCCTTTGAATACCATGTTTAAAAAGTTTTTAGCTTACAAGCTTAAATTAAGCGTTTTAAGAACTTCCTTTTAATAGGCGTTTATAAAGGCGATCTTCAAAAGGCAATTTATTTTACTACGTTTTTAAGATTTATAAAGGGTTAAAGTACTATCTTATAAAGTTGTCTTACATATCCCTGTTTATTTATACTAGCTATTTCGCATTAAGCTTAAAGATTTACAAACCACTTTTAAATTGGTTGCTTTAAAATATAATAGGTGGTTTTATGATAGTTTGTAATAAATTTAAGTATATAGTTTTTAATTTTCTTTAAAAATAATGCTTACGTTTCGTACAGCTTTTAAATTCGATTATAAAAGCTATTACTAAGTTTATAAGTTTGTTTCTCGTTATCGTTAAATTTAATAGCATTTATAGGTTATTATTTTATATATATTAAATAATTTCGTTGTCTTTATTTTCGTTATTTAATTCGAGGTTAACTTTAATAGTTTAACTTAGTTTAAAAGTCGTTTATTTCTTCTCGTAATTATTTTATACAATGTTTAAAATCTTTAGTTATTATATAATGCTTTTAAAGAAAACAAAAGAGGTTAAAAGAACTTAAAGCGTCTACTTCTAATTAAAACTTATAGTTTTATTCGGGCTATTCTCTTACTATCGATGGTAATATTAAAAAGTCTGCTTTTTAAAACTTTTAAAGGGTTAAAAGGACAGGTATTTTAAATATGTAAGATAAATAAGGTTTAGTAAAAGGAACAATAAGAAGACTTTTGATTGTTAAATTTAAGTTAATTATAAGAGTAAAGTGTATATATGTAATTTTTTTAGGTGTCTTTATATAACCGTAACAGTTTTATATTAAAAATGGTTAGATCGGTACAAAATCACTAGGTTTCGGTGTTTACTTATCAAAGTGCCTTTTCATCTTACTTTTAATTTAATAAAAAAAGTAAAACGGGTAAATGTATCAAAATTATTAGCTTTTAAAGGTAATAAACAAGGTTTTATTAACTATTAGAATAATAAATAGGCCAATATTTATACTTTAATATATATTTAACACTAGATTTAGTTTTTAAACCTAATAAACAATTACGCAAACAATTTAACCCATTTCTAACCCTATATTAGTCCTTGAATTGTAACAATATAAATATATGAATGTTTTACAACTTTAAGATAAAAGCGCGACCGTAAAACACGTACTTTTTTTCACCGCGTTAATAAGCTGGGATGTGCCAGCGATTTAAAGTAGATCTACTGACATTTTGATTGCAAACGACAGTATGTGTGCAGGGTCGATTATCATTATCCCCTGAGCCAGTCTACCAACGCAGCTCTCGGCCGTAAATGCGACATTATCGTGATTCGTAAATGCGAGGGACCGCGCGCTCAGCTCCTCTCCCCGGTCGCTCCAATACCCAACCGGGCCCCCAGCAGACCCGCATATAAGAAAAAAGAAAAGGCCAGGGCTGTGGGCAGACGGCAGACGGCAGCTAGCGCGGACGAGGGAGTATTGCAGCGAGGGTAAAGCCCCACCGGGATGGGTACCTGAGATCGACAAGCCGGTATGCATGCATCCATGGATGCATTGTACATTTGATCATCTCGCTGTGCGTGGGCGCATCGACATCACAAGCAAGGCCACAGCCCACAGCCAGCCAAGTGCCAAGTGCCAACTCCGGCTGCCAGCAAACCTCCCAACCATACCTTTACCAAGAGGGTGCCATGTCAGGATCAGGATGTCGGAGGTCGGGGCTAGTGTACTGTCAAGGTCCTCTTCCCCACCGTGACACCGACCGTTACTGGCGGCGGGGCGGCGTGCGCTATTCTCACTAGGATTATTAGTACCGGTACATCTGACCACTGACGGGCCGCCGTTGGCAGTGTCCTAGTGCGTCTGACGTTAGTTCCCGCAGTGGAGCTCCTACCTAGAGGCGACTACATGTCGGTACCTTCGTGATTGGTGTGCATCTAGACTCCGGCTCCCATTGAGAGCCTGCTTCAGTCCAATGCTCGTTTTCAGCTCAATCTATTTGATCCCTCCTTCTCTGGACCAGCTGTCACGCACTCTGCTCCATCAGGTGCCAACCGAGACATCCTAGCGGCGAGACATCCTACGGCTTTGCGGTTGTCGAGCAGCTGTGCGCCTCGTCGCGTCGAGGGATTACCAGCTGATAACATGACCAATGGCCACTTGCACTGTGTGGCCAGCAACTCTAGACGGCGAGTTCGAGGGCGCTGTCACATCACCTTGACATCCTCCCCCTAATCTTGCGTCTGAGTCTGCCGCCTCGATCATGAGGCTTGGCAATGAGAAGTCAAGGTGGATCTTGTTGCGATTCAGACGTTATCGGTAGGAGATATCGAGCCCACGAGCTAGGTAGGCCGCCGCCATGGGCATGCAAGTTCAGCCTCCCGTCCTGCCCAACATTGAAGTCGGTTGCTCCACCTTCTCCAGGCATGCCCCTGCCTTCGCGTCGTGGGTACCCGCAAACAACTAGCCTGCCCCAAGCAGAAAGGGAGTAGCCCACTTGCAACGAAGTTGTTCTCACCAGGAGGTTTGTAGGGCAACAAGTGAAAGCAATCGCCTAAGAATGAGATCATGCCCCTTCAACTTCCGTCCCCGTCTTTCCCAACGCCGTCCATGATTTTGTCGCCTTGTCCGCGCCGACTGGCAGGTGAGTGAACGATCCCGGACCTCAACCTTGAAGTCTTGACCCCCACAGAAACATCAGTCGTAAAGCATTGCAGCAGGGTATCCTTTCCACGTTCCACCAGTGCCCCTGCCGCCAGGAGACACCATGCGTTTAGTATATCCGGCCCTTGAAAACGAACCCCAACCTTTCTTTCTCCGTATGTGTCCTACCATCCCTCAAGTGACATTTTCCATGCATTCTTGAACTCCGTTCCAGGTTGTCTCCCTGAGGCTTGTTCCCGTATGCCGCCTTCCTAGACTCCAGTCTCCGAGTACGAGACGAATTGAATCCCAAAATACACTTGTATGCTTTTCATTTCCGATCGACGTGTTGGATGCAAAGGCTGAAGAGCGTGGCTCTCATTGCCACTAAAACAAATTCGCCATAGGTATCGCGCAGTATCCGGTCAAGGTACACATTTGTTCGCGCTTCATCAGATCTTCTCTTCACCTTCGTCCCTACCCTGACTGTGAGAGCGGTGTTGGGTAGTATCCGGCCGACGTGTATTTGCCCTCGAATCGACCGCAGCTCCGAGGGGAGTACGCCGTACCGGGATTATAAAAGAGGCTAGGGAGTGTTCCATCGTACTCGTGTTTGACCTTCGAAATCGTCGTGTCGACTGTAGTTGTCGATGGACTCAACATGTGTTCATGCTCGCCGCGGTGAGAAAACATCTCGATTCCGTGTCTCGTGTCAGCTCCTTCGTAGATGGTGGAAGGGTAGTACTGATATTCCTTCGCGGTGTCAACGGCCTTTGCTTCTTCAGCCGAGATGATAGGTTCCAACGGCATGTCATTGTGGCGTGTAGTGCCGTAGTGTCCCGATCGAGGATCGTACCCTCCCGTTCCGTATGCACTCGGCAGCATGGAAGACGAGCCGGAGCTGTAGTCGGCGCCAATAACTTGGTTGCTACCGTAACTACCCATCCCACTTGATCCCCCGGGACCACTGCTGGTGCTGCCTCGTCGTTCGGTCTGATAGTGACCTGGGGAGCGCCCACGTACAATCATCTTGGCCGATTTCCGTTGCGCAATCTTCATGAATTGATCTCCTGGGTTCTGTGTTCCCACGTCCACGAACAGTTCCACCATCAGGTGGTAATACTGCTGGGCTGCTCGTCGCTTGCCATTATTCGCCGTTGCTTGTTTGAACTGGATCCTCTCGAATGTGTGCTCAGTCGCAAATGAGTTTTGCGAGCTCTGGCCATACGCCCCTGGTTCGTACATCGACCTGGATCCACCAGACATGCCGTGATGGTCCGAATACATGCCAGCGACACCAAGAGGGTGTGCTGACTGCGTGGGCGGTTTGGGAGTAAGCCTCACTCTTTCAGGCCTCGCCGTTGGTCCCTTGTCCCTCTTCGGAGTGTGCTGGACCAACTCGATCGAATGCGAGTCGCTGTCGGACACAACAGCCGAGATGCACATGGCAAACCCGAAGACTTGGTATGGAGTGGACGATCCGGTGGGAACGTATTGCATCGATGCGTTGGGATAATGGGGCGTGAGGCTGTAGGAACAAATACACGAGAAGTAGTTACGTCGGTAACATGTCCACTCCCCTTCGGAGAGGAAGAAGCCCTTGTCGATCGTTCCTTGGATATCGATCTTGATGGGCGTCCCGGAGCCTGGTGCGCCGGCATCCGCGTATACCAGCGTACCATGCGTAGTCATCGGCATCAACGGAGGGATATTGGGTACTTGGGCCCCCTTCCCGTACGAGCTGTGGCCGGTGTCCATTCTCACCGGGCTCGTGAAACCGATGCTGGGACTGGGAGTTGGCGACAGAGGATGGCGTCGAAGAGGCGCAGCGAACGAGGGCGATCTGGTTGTGTGCTCCGTCGTTCTTGGGAAAGAGGGTCTCACCCCAGCGTAGAGATCTCTCGCACTATAGCCTGGGTTTGGTAACGCAGCGGAACGGTGGGCATGTGCCATGCCCGTGGAGGAGGTGCTACTACCACAGACGTGAGCAAGGCGAGGATTGGACATGGAGACGCGTGATTGCACATGGAAGTTCGGAGGAGGATCAGTGTGCGACTTACTTGGAGCCCAGGCGTGACCTGGGATCGATGCCAGAGAAAGATATGTGCGAGGCTGGGGAGTAGAAGGAGTTGGTATCAGGGGAGTACCCCGTGTTGGCGTGGGAGTTAAGTAACGGTGCAGGGAAGGCGCTCAGTACCGACTGCTGTTGAGGAGGGGCTTCTATCGTCAGAGACCCAATGCTGTTATCCTGGTTGTATCTGGTAGAACACATCAGCAGGGGCTCTGCCAAATAGAAGCTCGTGTGCAAGGCTTCAGGTAGCTAGCGCGACAATGCTGTACTATCGTGCTCCCCTACGACACCATGCCCAAGTGTCCGAGTGCGACGGGCAGCGGTGGCACTGCCAACGTTGGCGTCATACAGAGAGCAGAACAGCGGATAGGGATCGGGAAGTGCCAGCCACACCCACACCAGACGTAGCGAAGGCGGAAGGGCCACAACAACAAGTCGCTGCTGTGTTGCACCCTCCCCGGCACGGCAAGGCAAGGGCAGCAACCCTTGCTCCTTGTTTCCGCGCATATACTGGTGGGTGGCAGACTGTGACAGCCGCAGTACCAGCAGGCAGTAGATTATGCAATACTCGGGGTGCACCAGCAGCAAGATAATCAATGCCTAGCCAGTGCAACCCCATATATGCCCAAACTGCTGATTTTCCGTAGAGGGCTGACCGCACGAGAACTGAGGGGAGGGATGTTGGGCGACTCAAGAAGGGATATAAGACGTATGTGGTGCCCGCAGCTTTACAAGACGCACGCAAGTTTCCGAACGCAAAACACGAGAGCTGATAAGTAAGGGGAAAGAAAACTATCCCAGAGAAAACGTACCGCATATCAGCTGCCGTCGGGAGCTCGAGATAAGTTTCCAGCCCGTTGCAGGTGGGCGGCGAAGGCTCAAAGTCCTGCTACAGAGAGGCATGAACGGTCAGTGCATGGCTTCTCGTCGCTTGATAGACAACAACGAGGTGACGATAGTCCGACGCGGGAACATGGTGTATGTCAGTCTGAATATGGGCATGAGAACTGCAGTCGTTCATTACCAGGCTAATGGGATCGCCGGCCTTGCATCGAGGATTGGAGCGGATTGGGAGAGGACCCTGCAGCGAGATGGAGTTGGTCAGCGGAGACGGACAGAAGCGACTAAAAATGTTTGGTTCGAAGATGCAGAACAAGACGAGGAGAGATGTATTCAAGTCTTGACAGCAATGTCGAGAGAGACTTGCAAGGGATGGGGTGGTGGCCCGGTGGGAAAGAACCAGGTCCCAGCTAGTGAAATGAATGGATGGTGTTTGCTCCGAATCTTGATGGTCCCAACTCCAGATGACCATGGAAGTCACTTATGGGTACATGGGCGGTACACTGTGATACGGCGAGCTTTGTAGCATGGGCGCAGTGGGAGAGGTGAAGATGCTGTGCAGACAAGCCGATTGGCGGGGACGAGAGCGAGTAGGTACTTAGGTAAGCAGGGAGAGGGCTGTCGGTACATGTAGAGCAAAAAATAGGCAGGGACGTTGGGGGCCGGGGACGTATGGGCTGTGACTTCCATGTGAGGCAGGGGGGATGGGAGATCTGACGTAGGTAAGGTGGCTGGAGGTGTAGACGTAGGTACAGGGGAAGGCACGATGGTGAGGTAGTACAAAAAGAGAGAGCCGGGTATGGCTGGCTTGCTGCTCGCTGATTCATTCACTGGGATTGGATTTCCATGTTCATCAACCACGACCCTGTCCCTGTCATCATATTCATGACACAGACATAGACAGACCGAGGCGTGAGCAGGTATCCAATCCAGATCTTGTCAGTGCGCCGTCTCAAGTACGCGTGCCACTCGGCCTCGTGTCTTTTCGTCTGTTAATCTCTCCTCTTCTTCGTACCTTTTTCTGTCTTTCTTGATATGCGGGCATACGGGCAGGCAATTTGGGTAATGGGTAGGTGCAACCTGAATAGGAGATGGCACGAGGTGGCTGTACGGGTATATGGGCAAATGGTAGGTGGTATAGATAGATAGGTAGTGGACGCGCATGTCAACGAGGATGCATGTATGTGACTGACCTTTTTTTCTGTCTTGCTCTTTTCTTGCTATACTCACTCGTCTCTCCGTCTGCTGGGGTCGGGTGCTCTCCTCTGCGCGCCTCTGCTCTCCGATCCGCTCAGCACCAGCGGTGCATTTCGCCCATCTGGTCCAATTGGTCCTCGATTGATGAGAGGCCTGTTCGACGACCTGGCTCTGAGCTCTTGAAGAAGATTGCTGCTCCCGGCTGGTTTCGAAGGGCGCGGATGTGGGGGACGGAGACGGAGGATGGGGAAGAACTCAGGTAGATAGAAGCGAGGATGTATATAAAAGATGCATGTACAATAAATACCTTGTTGAGTTGTTGATTCATTCGGGGAACGTGGAAGAGGCGAGGTTCGTTCCGCCAAAGAGAGGATGCAGGTGGTAGTGGTGGTAGTGGTGGTAATGCTGACGGCCCCGATGCGAGACTCGCAGGCGGATCGCTTATTAGTCGGTCAAATAACCGTTGTTGGTCCCGTATCTGCTAGGCCCGCAAAACAGGCAGAGGTCAGCGACGGGAACACGAACGCAAGTCAAGCGTCAAGCGTCAAGCCACTGGGATTGAAGGTGTTGGTGCTGCATGCAAGTAGCTACCGCAGGAGGTACGATGTAGATGTCGACATGGTGAGTGCAAGGATGCCCCCCTACCAGATACCGTACTGTGCCGTACGGTACGGTAGGGTGTGGCGCGGCACGGTGGGGTCCACGGGTAAGGCAGGGCAAGGCAGGGTAGATGGGTACAGATGCAGATGCAGATAGTGCACGGTTGACAGTTGAGGATAGCACAGGACAGGTGAGGCATGTAGATCGAAACAAGCTCCTTAGCTTTGTTCGGGTTGCAGCTGCAAGTAACACCCGCCGCCCACTGGGGCTGTTCGCGACTTGGACAGATGCTGTACTTGGTTGGGTAGAGTGATGTGCTGTGTGATTCGTGTGCCTATTGGAAGATACATGAAAGAGCCCTGTGATGAAGGCCCGACGGAGTGCAGAGGGATGCTGTAGCCGGCGACCCGAATTATGAATAAGGACCAATACCAGGCAGGCTTATGTGGTTGTAGGTAGGTTTGTAGGCACCATGTAGGCAGGGTGGCAGACTGGCCCGGTAGGGTAGTATGTAGGCCACGCAGGTAGGGATGTGAGGGTTGTGAGTGCTTGTAAGTATGCGGGTTCGCACTAGGGGATCTCACCGACCTTTGAAGAGTCCCCTGTCACCATCAGATGCCAAGAGGGTGGGTTGCCAATTGCACTGTTGATGTCTCGACCGAGAAAGCCCCTGGTTGATTTCAAGCTCGCTGTCAGCTCTCACCCGATGAACATTGAAAAACATTGAAAGGGGACCACCAATCGAAATGGGACGTCGGGCGAAGGACGGCTTGTGTGCAGGCCAGTCGACACGCGAGATCAAGCCGAGAACAAGGCGAGACGAGGACTCGTCGCAGGCAGACCAGACGCCGGGCCACTGGGCAGACCAGCTGCGCCTTGACCTGAATCCTGACTCCTGACTCCAGTCCTCCTCGACTCGAGTCGCGTCGGGTCATGTCGAGTCGAGTGAGGCCCCTTCGAGGAGTCGAGGAGTCGAGGAGTCAAGCAGTCATCCAAGTCAGGCTGCCGGCGCGGCGTGCCGGCAACAACTGCTCGCACTCGCGCGCACGCACTGTCTCGTCCTGCTCGGCTTCCGATCTGCTCTGCCAAGTATACTCAAGTCGCATTCTGTGGCGTCTGCACAAAGTCCCGAACAGATGGAAACCCACCGCCCCTATCGGAAGGAGCACTAACACGAACACGCTGGATGATCCGCAGCAGCAGCAGCAGCAGCAGCAGCAGCAGCAGCAGCAGCAGCAGCAGTAACAGCCCTGGAAGAGACGTCAGCTTGGGCTCCTTGACTTGCAGGCGTGCTTCCTTCTGATTGACTGGTTGACTGATCGAGCAGCCAGCAGCGTGGCAGAGGCTAAAGGACCCTGCACACCACTGGCGTACAGGCTCTACCGCTATGTTGGGTCGCTTGAGGTGGTGAGGTGGTATGGATATGGCGCAAGGCGCACCGAGTAAGAGCAGGGGTGTCAGACAACATCACCCTCCATGGGAGGCAAGTGAACATGACTTCAACAAACAGCCAAAACTTGGACGCAATTGGTTTCAAGACACCGTCAGTGCCCTTGCCAATACGTACCTGCTTTCTCCACTCGACTGGTCGAGCTTTGCGATATTGCCGGGCCCCTTTGGACGCTTTGGGCGCTTTGTGCTGAGAATCGCTTGCCGACTCGGATGCGTGTCTGGGCAAGATCCGGTAGGTGGAGACGTCGAGGCGCGCGAATGGTGTGGAAGATCGTTTCTGTTCAGATATTGCGCGCTGGGGAGCGGTTCGGACGGTTGAGACCTTCGAGATCAGGTTGGGTACGTAGCAGGATCAGACAGACGGAACAGCCTTGGCCTGATGATGTCGAGATGGAAGGGATTCTATATACCCTCAGGAGAACGCTTTGAACCCCTGGCGCGGTGGCTTCTAATCGTACGAGAAGGTCTGCTGAGAAGATGATGAAGGCTTAAAAGATGTAGAAAACGCAGTCGTGCCACAGCTCGTAGTGCGCACGATTAGAGCCAGGTTCGTCAGGCTCGCGACGGAGAGAGGCCAGGCGTCGGTCAGACTACGGAGTTTGATGCTTCGAGGACAAGATGATGAAACTCTGATAGGACTGACAAGAGACGAAGTGGGTATGGCCTATTCCCTCTTTGGCCTGCGCAGTCTGATGGCGGTCGTGCAAGCTTGGGGGAGTATGAGACAGCGGCTATTGGGGACAGCTGTGGGAGTGTGGGGAGCTCGAGGCGCATCTGGTCTTTTTTATTGTTTAGCCTTCTCGTACCGCGCAGGCGCGTCGGTCCTATGGTATGATAAGATGACTTGCGGGCCAGGGCCACGGGTGCTGGACTCTGGACGAGCTGGCCAAGGTTGATTGGGGGGTGATGGGGGTGTAGTCCTATGAGCCTGACTGGAAAAGTCAGCAGATGGGCGTCGTGTGGCATGAGCGGCAACAACGGTGGCCAGCATGGGCCATGGCATCGACGGGGGGTGGCTCGAGTGAAAACGAGATAAAGCTCGACCTTCTATCCTATTAATTCATCGGTCTCGGTGGACTAGCTCGATACTTTCTGTTGACAATCAAGGTAAGGAGCCGTTCCAAGGAGCAGGCCCATGCTTCAAGTTGTTTTAGTCACTCCAACAGTCTTCAAGGCCAAACATCATCTGCGGTCTCGCTGCATGAGCCCAATCTGCTGGGTGTCGTAGCTCGGAATTCCTGGAATTGGAAGGCCTGTCCTCGGTGAGCAATCTAGTATCACGCAAGGACCTTGTGATGTGATTTTCGGGGCATGGGGGGGCAGAACAGGCTGCTTCCGCTCTATCCTGCTGATACTTCACATCGATTACATCCGAGATCTGCCAAGGACCAGCGGCATTTCAGGGAGAGGACAGGAGAGAACAGCAAAGAATAGCAGATGAACAAGATCGAAGCCTCTTCTTCGTAGGGTGGTGACGGACTGACTGCCTGAGAACTCCGTCTCCCATGCATCAGGCATGCAGCTATCCTACCGTCAGTACCTCTACGAGACGCCACAAACATCCTCTGGTAATTGGAAAGGGATCTGCCTGGCCCGAGGAGCGGCCCACTCGACGGGAGGCTGCATGACAAGCTTACAAGCAGCCGGTCGATTTTGATGCCCTTGCCCGCTGCTTCGATCATTTGTGTAGTCGTCATGTTTCGTTACTGCTGCCCGTGTTCGTGTGGAGTAGGTAGCCAGCAAGTCCCTTTCTCCAGTATGTTTCTCTTCCCGTCAAGTAAATCCCACGTAGAGAGGTCTGTCGGCACCTAATAGGGGCATACCCAGCAGCTGATCTGTAGGGGTGAAGGGGGTGAAGGTAGGCTCCAGAGTATTAGTCGAGGCCT